ATGGTCATTCACCTACATATGTATCTATATTCTATATATCCAGGTATATCTGAATATTTATAAACATCCATATCTGCCTATCTACATTCATCTACATCTTTATCAATATCTATGTTGTATATTCATCTATATGTGTCTGATTCTCTATCTACACGACTTGATCATACTATATGATCACTGTTTGAATTTTTAAAAAATTTACTACAGTAAAAGACACATTCTCAAGTGCTCCCTCTCACTCTCTCTCTCTCTCTTCCTGTCACATTTATCCCGTTGTTCTTGCCACTTCCTGAAGTAGTTCTGGAAGTCCTCTTTGGTGAGTGATCAAGAATACAGTAAGTGAGGCTTCCAAGGGCCATCCGGTTGAAAGTCAGGCTCATAAAAACATCACAGTGTGTCCTCATCCACCTTATTCACTGGATCTGGCATCATCCAGCTCCTGGCTCTTTCCCAAAGACAAATGACCATGAGAGGTAAACATTTTGAATTGATTCAGGACATCAAGGCAGCCAGGACAGCGTAATTAAAGACACTCACGAAAAAGGACTTGCAGAACTGCTTCAGAAAATGACAAGAATTATAAGTGTTTGAAGTGAGAGGGATTAATGGCAATATGTCTTTTGCTATAATAATAGTTTAAACTTAAACACTCACCATGATTTTTGGTCACACCTCATATATCCATATTCGTATCTACAACTGAATCTGTTATCTATGTCCATCTCCATCTTCACCTACCCTCATTATTCACCATGCCGCTATTATAATAATCATCTCAGAGTGTCTCACTTTGCTCCTTCATTTCTCCTTCTATTTACTTCTTCCTCTCTTAACCATTTCATACCATGACACTCTTCACTGAGATGCTTGACTTTCCTTATAGTTTCTCTCTTTCTATCTACCTCCCTCCCTTGTCCTGCTCTGCTGTCTGTCTTAACAGGTAACAGTGAGTACCGAGAAGCTTTTCTTTTGCATATGGCATGTTTCTTAGAAAATATTCTCTGTTCCTTAAAACTTCATATTTGTACTTCATATTTCTCTAAGAATAGTAATAAAAGTTGCCTTTTTTTTCCTTTGTCAATAAGGAGGATTGAATCCAGGGACTTCACACTTCACATGCTTTGCCATATTTTTTTTTTTTTTGAGATAGGGTCTCACTAAGTTATAAAGTTGCCCAGGCTGAACCTGAACTTGTGATCCTCTTGCCTCAGATTTGCAGACTTTTGGGATTATACTCATGCACCACCATGCTTGGTTAAATTGGCTTTTCTTACTGAGGAATCTGATGTAGGTGACCAAGAAATGGATTGTGATCCAGAACACATAGATGATGCTGGGAATGCCATTTGAGTAGTCTGAGCCTCAGTGTAATCATCTGGAAAATGGGGATGACAATTTCTGTGCTGAAGCCATACCAATGAGGTCTCGTGCAGAAGTGCCTCAGAGCAGCAACCACAACTGTACATCAGAATTACCTGGGAGGTTTCTGAAACCACTCCCAATATCTCCTCCAGACCTAGGCACCAGGACTTTTTACTGCTCCTCAGGTTATTCTAATGCATAGTCCAGATTTTTGAACTGGACAATATTTTACAAATGTACATTAACGTGTGTTTATGTTTCCTTGACTTTTTTAACACTATGGATCAGTAATTGCATAGTTACTCAGCAATATTCTAAATAACCAGGAATTCAAGGGGGAGATGAATTTTTAACACATTTTCAACTATCCTGGGCAGTGTTCCAAAAGACTCAAAATGATAGAATTTTCTCATTATTTAGTTATTAGGCTGTGACTTTGAACACATGAAGCCGGATTCTTCCCACAGCGTTGTTTATCACTCAGAGATAGTTGTACCTCCGTCCAAAATATTTGTCTGATGTGGATATCATTTACAGCCTAAGACAACATTTGAAAAGGAAAACAACTAACATCTTTCAAAAAGAATATGTAAAACAGTGAACAACTAAATGTAAAGGTGCTAACTACTGACAATGGATTTGTTTTCAAATTGTCCTTTTAACTTCTAAAACTAATGAGTACAGAAATTCTCTATACTGCAAACGTAGATTCCCTAGAAACTCTGATAATTAGAGTATCTCTTTGGAATGGACATTACTCAGTATGTAAGGAAAAAAGTGACTCTCATTATTTATAAAATTCATTAGAGATAAGGAAAGAACAAACACTTTTCAAAAAGTACTGTTCTTGATATCTTAAAACTTTCTCTGAAAGGACAGCAGAAATTTTTCAAGTATAAAAAAAAAACAACAACATAGAAAATGTAATTTGCCATTGGAAAATGGCACTGGTGATTTCATTTTTAAAACATGTTATTAGCAATCAGTGAAGGTTTCTCAAGTAGCTTACTTGGTTTTATGTTTTCACAGCTGGCTTTAGGCCAGTATAAATATTATATTGGCATCGGGTCTGTCCCATAAATATGTCAATGGTGGGAATGGTAATCACAAAAGTAGAGCCAGTGGGGGTTTCCAGAACCTATACCCAGTCGGCCTTGGTTTAGATTACTACTTATCTGATCAACTGTCCTGGAACATAAAGGAAGCCGAGTCTAATCAGAGACAAAGAAAAACACATGTTCATCAGTAAAATCTCTGATATGCCTTCATAAACTCATAATCTATGCCTTAAAATTTGCATTTATTTGACATTTTTATTATTTTGAGTGCCAGCATTTTGTCACCTTATCAGAGCACAGACTCAGCTATATTATAAGATAGATAGCACAATTTCATATCATAAAACATTGTCTTCATATCAGCAGATGGAATTCGGACAAACTGTATGAAATGAACAATTCAAAATCTAGAATATGACTCAAACTATGGGGCTTCCCACCATTTCTTGAGTTTTCTGGGAGACTGTTCCATCTGCCATTTCCAGGCTAGTTTCTCTGTGAGCAGACGTGAGAATGCCTTGAACAGACAGAAGGACATTTCCCATTGGCTCCCCAGAATGGGTCATGTCGAAGGGCCACTTATATCTTCCCAGGTGGACCCTGCAGCAGGAAGTTCTCCCCTCCAAAGTTGTTCTGGGAAAGGCAAGAGACTTGAGCTAACAGATACTAGGAAACCAATTGCCCATACACTCAGATGTGTTGGCCCACTGGCGACTTCCTAACAGTGCTCCCATGGGGTGAGGTGGAAAAGGAAGTACAAAAGATCCCATACCCTAAAACAATCTTGATATTTTTATAAATACTGTCCCCTGCTTCCCAGCGATCTTGTTTGAGTCAGTGCATAGTCACTTGGCTGGGGAAGAGAACACAGCCTGTGGTTGTGGATTTTTTTCCCATGGTCTCCAATCTCTGCTCAATTACAGTTGGGCTGGAACTCAAGATGCTTCCTCATTTCAAATGTATTTCACTAATTTATTGTAATTAAGAATATTTCACTTAGGATGGAGAAAACAGCAGGCTGACCACTTGCCTCTTTGAGAAATGCAATAGAAATGCTCTTCTGATAAAACTGCCAAAACCCACAGCACGGCAGCACCCCCTGAAAAAAAGTTCGGTGGTTTCTTCAAAAGTTAAACACAGACTAAGTCAAACATGTGTAAATACTGAATAGTTTCTCTGGTGTGAAAAAATATAATAGTACATAAGATCCTACTGAGATAATTGACAATGTGAAATAGGAAGAAAAGGGCTAAAGGTGTAGGGAAAATGGGAAGGGTGGGGGAAAGGTAATAGGGAAAGGAAAAAAAATATGAGAAAATGGAAATAAAGTATTTGTAAATGGGGAGGGGAGAAGGGGGTGAAGGGAGGGCAGGGACAAGGGGAAAAAATGAGAACCAAGACCTGTCATGTAAAGGTACAAGATCCCAATGATGAATGTAACTGTGCTGTATACCTAAAATGTACCAATAAACACATTAAAAAAAAGTTAAACACAGAATTTGGCTTTGACCCAACAATTTCATATGACTCAACAATTTTATTCCTAGACACAGACTTGAACATGCTAAGAAGGTGCTCTGCAACTGAGCTACACACCCAGTCTCTCAAACAGATACTTGTACACCAATGTTCATAATCCCACTACTCAAAGAGTGAAGAGGTGGAAACAACCTAAATGTCTTTTAGTAGGTGAATGAGTAAACAAAATGTGGAGTGTTTCTACAGTGGAACAGGATTCAGCCTTCGAAAGGAGTGTAATTCTGACACATGCTATAATATAGAGAAGCCTGTGTTTTATTGTGCCAAATGAAATAAGCCAGACAGGAAAGGACAGATATTGCATGATTTCATCTGTATGAGGAACCTATGATAGACAAATTCATAGAGACACAAGCAAAACAGTGGTTACTAAGAGCTAGAAACATTAAGGAATGGGTAGTTATTGTTTAAAGAGTACAAAATTTCTATTGCTGGTGATTAAAATTTGTGTAAATGGATAATGGTAAAAAATTGTACAACATTATAGATGTACATAGTACTAATAAATTGTAGAACAATATGGCTAAAATAGTTTCATGATCTATATGTTCATTTAGCACAATTTAAAAAAGAGTACCATAAAAATCTAAAACCTAAGCTGATATTAGTATAAGAAATGCACAATAAAACATATAATACACATAATCCTTTTAGCTTACTTTTTAGTTATAGATGATATGGTAGCATTCTTGTCGTGACCATTTGTAGAAACGTCTCTAAATGATACCATCCCATGTCAAAAGTTAGTTATTAGTCTCAAACAATGAGTACAATGTGCCTAATATTTAATGATGGACACTTCTGCTCTGATCGGGGATTTCTATGCTATGCAGTGAATTGGCACAGTAAGGTGGTACCTGGCCAAGCAAAGCAACCCAATGTCACAAGTTACAGAAAGTAGAGGAGGTCAAGCTGCTTAAGTAATGGCCTCCAAACTCCTATGAGCCCCTACTTTAAGTAGCTTCATTTTCCTAATTAAATCAAAACCAGAAAAGTCCACCAGCCAAAGATTTTATTGTTTATGCCATCTTTTTAACCTACTTGATGAAGTAGTCTCGCCCATCTCGGTTTGTCATCATCTCCCATCCATAGGGTGGCACCTGGTTCAAACCCCAGGTTCCTGAGGGAGGTGGCCAACCTGAAGACTTCATCCTGTGGCTGGAAAAGAAAAACAAACATCATTACACCAGACTCCTGAACACAAACTACAGAAAGGCATTTGACTTGCTCCTCTGAATGGTGAGCTATATCTTCCACTGACTGGATGAATAATTATAGACAATGTTTTCATGTCAAGTACCATGCTAGACATTTCCTACATGTTATCTCACTTATTTTCTACAGAAGCTCTATGAAGTACACACACATACATCTTACAGATAAGGAACAATGAATGGGTCAGTAAGATTAAGTGACTTTCCTGAGAACACACAAGCCAATTTTGCACAAAATTTCTTCACACTTTCTATCAGACTAGGCATTCCTGAGGCCAGATATTAGAACAGTCTCGGCACATAAATACATTGCACAGTATGATACAAATACACATGAAAATAAAGTGCTGTCTCTATGCTTTTAATACGAAAAGAAAACTCAAGCCCTGGTTTCCTGGATTTTTATGACCAAAATACAAAATTTAGACTCATATTAACCATACTTCAGGCAAGTAAGTCAGTTACAAAACCGCACACAAACCTTCAGTTTTAAGTTGTAACAAAAATAAATTCATTTCTTTTCCATTTTTCAGTCTCAAAATTAAATCTGATTAATTTGCAAAATGAAGGGTGGGTAAGGCTAATTTTCAAGAGCAAGAGGAAGGGGAAGTTACTCCGTATGACTGGTGGTTGTGACAAGCAGCATGGCACAGTCACAGTCCCTCATCAGGTTTAGAGACCGTTTCTGGAGCATCACTGAATCCAGGCCTGACCAACTCAACTAAGGACCTTCAGAAATTCCTCTTTGCCCATAAATGTCTGAGAATTCTTCAGAACTTAATCTGATTTTGGAAGCAAGTGAGGCTGTTTAGGATGGATCCACATCTTTTATCACTGGTCCTTCTGTTCCAGGAGAAACCACTCGAAGGATAACCTATGAGGTCCTCTGCTGGTTCTAAGTGCCAGAATGGCACCACCAAAGTAGGCAGGGAAAAAACAATGATGCCAATTTCATGGAGTCACAATCAGTGTCTCAACTGATACCCAAGAACCCTTCATAATGAAAAAGAAGCACCTGCTCTGGTCAGATGAAGGGAGAGCAAGTGTCCCTAGCCTGGTGCCCAACCTTATAGTGAATGTGGCAGAGGGAGGATTGCAGTTGCCACCTGTCTCCTTGGCTGGGTCTCACATAATGTGTGACTTGCACAATCTTAGGTGGTTGCTTTCACACATTCTGTTGCCCTTTAGTGGCAAATATTTAAACCAGAGCCCTCAACATTTCTGAGATGAGGGGAGACTATTAAGTCAGCAGGATACTGAGCAGTTCCTCAGACTTCTCTTGCCCTCTCAACACAATCTCATGACAATAACCCAACACTTCTCAAAACAAACAGGCCCACTTCCTTTAAGTTTTCTCTAGTGGAAGTATTTTGCATGACTTTTACCACTTCAGTTACTTTTCTTTAAGTTCCCTTCAGTTTTCCTATCTCTTGCACAAAATGTGGTGAACAAAAATGTTCACAAATTTAATGCAGGTGTGGTTAAGTTTAGAATGCCACCATAGGACTATTTCTTGCCCACTATTAAAAAAAAGGACACGGCCACCATTTTTGTTCCTCTTGCTTGTACAAAAGTCAGCAATGGCAGTTTACTCTGGTGTTATTTTTTTTTAAATGTTCTGTTTCTCTGAAGTGGGAGAGCACATGAATTCGCCACCCTGAGATACTACCAAAAAAACCAAAACAAAGCACAACAACAACAACAACAAAAAAAACCAACCAACCAACCAAATAAACAAACAAAAAACCCACAGCAGCAGAGACCACACTTGGAATGCTTTCTTGGGTGGTACTAGGAAAACACGATCTTAGAGGTATAAATACCGTCTATTCTTTCACTAAGAACTTTTCCAAAGCTAAGAGTACAGTCACAAGTAACACAATGAATATTCTTGGAAGTGAAAGGAGGCTATGTACAGATTACCACAATTCATTCTGGATTGTACTGTGTTAGAAAAATAATCTTCCTCAGAGGGGGTTAATGTACTATAAACAAATAGACTATCTTTCTTTTCTTTCATTTGCTTTCCTCTCTGTAATCTTAATCACTAAAGGAAAGACACAGGCTTCCTAATATAATTTACATGTAAAATACAGCATTCTCATAACAAGCTGGAAGAAGCCAGAGTTTTATTATACACTATATTTGGTCTTGTACAGTATGTTTAGGAAGCAGCAAACAATAGTCCAGCAAGATGCTTTCAAGTAAGGCTTTTTCTAATAAACCTGCAAATGAAACACTAACATCAGAAAACCCACAAATACTAATTTAATTAGTTTAGGTCATCAGCTAATATAAAACAAATAATTGAAGAATGAAGATCAGACATGGCTACAAGTCTACCTGTTAATGTGAGACCATAGAATACATAGGTTTGAAAGATCTTGGTATAATTTAGCAAAGTAAAAGGCCAAGGAGGACAAAATAATACCCTATCTCTCCATAGTAGTCTTGAGAACAATGAAGGGCATGGGCTCTAATGGTGGAGGCACTGGGCTTCTGCTTCCATGCAGTGAGGGGACTGCAAGTCCAGCCCCAACAGTATCCAGTCCTAGAAGCCAGAGGATTCCTCTCTGCTTACTGGGGAGTTGCTTCAGGGCCCTCATTTCCCTGCTTTTACCTCTGTGTACACCAAACTCTCCCCTACGTCCAAATGTGCTATCCCATCGAGTGCTGCTGAAAAACACACTCTTTTCTACTCAAAATGTTCAGAGGTGGCTCCCTCAGGGAGCAGCAGCATGGCTGGTGCATGGATGAGCAGAGCTCCTGGCTGCTGCATTTTAGGGCCTCTTCTGTGTGGAGATCATACTTGGCTCCTTAGAGTGGATCAGGCACTGTTACAATGACACTGTTCTCTGCGGAACTCCTCATTTCTGTCAATAATGTTAAGCCTGTGTTCTAGGGTGAAACACAAACCCCTTTTTCCCATCCCTTTCAGAAAGTTTTTCTTTTGAGCTCTTCTATCTGAGTGCTGAGGCTGTTGTAAAATTTCCCCTCTTTGAATTAGAGCTTAGTTTTCATGTTCAAGGACCTATCAACCTCAAGATTCCTCTTGACCACCTCTGTGCAACCCAAAAGACTCTCCTAGGGAACCCAGCAGTTCTGCTTGACTTCCCAGTGGCTCTGAGGATGGTTTACAGATTGTCTCTGTTAAGATCATCTTCCAGCCTAAGGATGCCAGATTTAGCAACAGAAGAGAGAAGACATTAAGGTAAATACCAATTTTTCCATAAACAACATTTTTCTAGTATATCGCATATACTATTTGGACAACGCTGATACCTATTCAAATTTGAGAACCACACTCAATCCCCATTCTGCCTTGTATTTTCAATGACCATGAACAAGTTAATTAACCACCCCATATTCTTCATAGGAAGTTCTTCCTCTGTAAAATAGTGGGAATATAACTCATATCTTTGAGAAAATATCAAGTAAACTTTGGAAAAGGCTTAGTATAATGCTGAAAATAATTTTTCTACCAGTGGAAACAATATAAGACAGTGGGGGATTGGTACAAGTATAAAGGGCTTTAATCCATCTTCAGAGTAGAAAGAAGGTGAAAGGCTCACTCTATTCTTTTCCAATCTGGCAGGAACAGGGCAAGAAGGGGCTGAACCAAGCAGTTACACTTATCTATAAGGGTACAAGTTGATGAGTTCAGCCATTCTCAAGGCAAAAGGAAAGATCAGAACATTTTCACCGGAAACCAGGAATCCCTACTCTGTGACCCAGGGTACAGGGGTTCACTTCCCAGTTTTCTGAGGCAAGGCCATGAAAGTCTTCACAATTCCAGTGTTCTATGGCTTCTATCTGACATCATGGCTCTGTGAAGCACTTTCAGATACTTAGCTCAGCCTTAAAAATAGTGACCTACATTGTCAGGGCTATTTAAATCACTCCAGAACTCCCAACCACCGACTGAACTGGTTTGCAACCTTGTGCTTCCCTCATCTATTGTATACAACAGATTGAAACTATCTTGGATAAAAAAGACCATGATGCTTTATATGAAACGAGAACAGCTAGAAATGGTAGGAACAAAGTTGCAGAACCATTTGTGCTGATGCCACCGTAAGCACCCCATGGGTTGCTCCTGCCAATCTATGCTTTCCAGAAGGCAGGTTCTTAGGAAGCACTTGCAAGCCTCTCCAGGATTTGAGTTTCCTTAGAAACAACTCAATATCAGGGACTCTGTGGGGTAGAAGGAATGTGGGGTCAGGTTCCAAAGCCCTGAGTCAAACAGATTCAAGTTCTGTCACTTTCTAGATGGACAACCTTGAGCAAATTCCTCTATTTTTTTGAGCCTTATTATCATCAACTATAAAGTAAAATGACGCTGACTCGATGGATCCCATGCAAGAATGGTTTTGCCCCAAAGGACACTTAGCAATATCTGGAGACATTTTTGGTCATCATACCTAGAGGAAGGAAGATGTGTCCTTCTGGGAGCTGGTGTGGAGAAACCAGGGATGCTGCTAATCATACTACAGTGCATGGCGCAGGCCCTTACAATAAAGATCAATCCAGCCAAAATGGCAGCAGTCCAAGGTGGAGAAAATCTGCCTAGCTCATAGGGCTCTTATGACAAAGCAAGGAAATGACAGTATAATTCTTAGCACAGTACCCGACACAGAATAGGTGCTCATTAGGCATTAGTTTTTAAAAAAAGAAATAAAAACAAATATCCTCAACATTTCTACTTACAGCTGAATTATGCCACGTATAACATGTTGCAGCATGTTAAAATGAGTTAAAATTCCAGCTCTACCACTTAACAGGGTGGCTTTTCTGGGTTTTGGTTTTAAGTGTAAAATGGAAATAACATCCAGCTCAGCAATGTTAAGCAGACAGATGAGATATATAAAGCCCTAAAGTACAATGCTTGACTCATGTATAATAGTCTCATCAAATGATATGTTGTCGTTAAGTAGTACTTGTAAT